ATTTATTCAATCATTAATATAGTTTCTTATAATTATGTTTTAAAGTCAATCCATGGAGAATAATCTTAATTAAAAGGTCATAGGAATATCTAAAACACATCAGGCACTACACTAATAAATTATATGAATAGTTTCCTTTAATCCTCATTCCAGCCCAGTGAAACACCTACCATTGAATTGGGTTGAATAGTCTCCCCAAATTTCATGTACACTTGCAACCTGTGAATGTGATTTTCTCTAGAAATACAGGGTTTTTGAAGATGTGATTAAGTCAAGGTGAGGTTATAGGGCGTTAAGATGGGCCCTAACTCTAATGTGATTTGTGTCCTTATAGGGAGAGCGAAACTGGGACACAGAAACACACATAGAGAATGGAGAATGGAGAGAAATGTCTACGAAACAAAGGACACAGAGGATGGCTGACAGTCACCAGAAACTGAGAGAGCCCTGGAACAGATATCCCCCAGAAAACATGTAAAAAGCCAACACTGCCAAGCCCTTGAGCTTGAACTTCTAGCCTCCAGAACTCTGAGAGAAGACATCTCTATCATTTCAACTCATCCAAATTTATGCTTATTTTTTATGGCAGACCTAAAGATTTAACACATTATTGTTATTTCCATTATACAGGGGTGAAACTAAGGTTTAAAGAGTTAAATGTAGTTTACATAAATGGAAAAACAGCATTAAATCCAAATAATCTGACTCCAGAGACTATGCTCTCAATCACTAGCTCTAGTATCTTTAAGACAGTATTTACTGAGGGTTTATTCTAAAATGGGCATCTACTCTATAAATTTTCCTTGTGGTAAGATCATTGTTTCGGTCTTTAGTAAGATCTCTTGCAAATTATCCACATTATACCCTCAGCACATGAAATAGGTTAATTGCATGTTTTCTCTCCCCAAACTGCACACTTGTGCTAATGCCCTTCCTTGTAGCACTTTAACTGGCTATTTCTGTTTGGACATAGAATGTGTATCAGTTCTACTAGGAAGACTGACCATTTCCTGTCCAGAGTTTCATCGAGCATTCTTTCTACATCTGCCATGGCACAACACATATGTCTAAACAATGTAAAATGTCCCTGCAATTTGTTATATCCATCTATTCCCAAGACATTAAGAACAGGGGACCACTAATCATTCTCAGTTACCCACACAGTCCCAGGCACTCATGTTGGAAATTATTTATTGAGAAAATTAATTAGGGGAATATTTAATATGAAATAAAGCAGACACTGTGAATTACATAAAGATATGTAGATATTTTCAGATTAATTTAATATAGACCGTTAGAGACCCATAAATTAATACACATTCAAGTATGGAAAGAAACTAGATGCTTGTCTATTTTAGACAACATTTTTGAGTTATTTTATACCTTTATTAGCAACTTGGGAATAATATGATAAAATGATTAATTAAGCAATCCATTTGAGTGGGTTTCTTTCTGGGAATGTGTATTCGTTTATCATGGTCTAAATATGTTTGTCATCTGGCTTATTTCTGAGTTTAAGAATTTGTGGGTTAAACTTTGAAGCCTAAATGGATGCTTAATCATAACTGAGAATGGAAATAGGGTCATTGTAGAAATACCTAGTTAAAATCAGTTCATAATGAAGCAAAGTGAGTTCTGTTTTGACCATGTCTTTATAAGAGGATGATAAAAGCTTAGAGACAGGCACACAGAGAAATACAACAAAGTAAACACAAGTTCACAGGGAATGTGCCATGTGACAATGGAGAGAGATTGGAATGTGTCTCCACAAACTAAGGGCCACCAAGAAGTTCTGGAAACTACCAGACCTAACAGAAGGCCTTGGGAGAGGCCTTTGGAGGAAGCATGGTCTATGGACACCTGGATTTCAGACTTCTCACCTCCATATTTGTGAGAGAATCTATTTTTGTTGTCTTATGCCACCCAGAATATGGTACTTTGTCTGGTAGCCCTGGGATATCAATACAAGTTTCTTTATCTTGAATGTAATCATAATGAGTATTGTGTCTCCTCATTTTCTTTCTAAAGTGCCTACTTGGGTTCATGAAAATTTAGCCCCTTAAATGTTTACAGTTATTACAACATGTTTTGGAACCTAAACCACCATAATAACTGAATTTGACATTCCCACACACTATAAATGTTCAAATAACTTTTTGTTAACACTTGAAGGTAGTGATCAAATTTACTGAATTTTATGTAGGTCTCTCAAGAAAAAGGCGTTGATGACAGAGACTTGTACTTCCAACTGACCAGGGGCACCCAGGCCTTCCACCCACTGTGAAACACATTATAATTTATACACTTCAGAAGTCTGAAATACTCATTAATAGGAGTGAAAAGCCAGTTTCTGTTCTGCTACATCTAGTCTGTACTCCACATGGTCCATGTGCAACACTATCTGCAGAATGCTGATTAGGTTTTAGGGCTGAAATCTCAAGTCTCCTAAAAACATGATTAATGTTACATTAGCCTTTTGGAGCGGGGGTCTAGAATACAATACTTCTTAGTTTATAAGCAAAACCAGTGGGACATGAAACAGAACAGATATGCAGGTATAAACACATAACCTTCAGTTGTCCTCTTGGAGAATGTGGTACCTCTAATCTCACAAATAATATCACTATGATTAAATGTAACAAGAGCAGATACCAAGAATGTGCACTGCCACTAGGGATCTTAGCCAAAGTACAAAGTTTGCTGTTTGTCTTGGGAAACTTCTCACCTTTTCCTAAACTCTCGTAATCAGCCCTCAGGCACCCAGTGCCCTCATGCCGCCCTCTGGTTGTCCCCGGCTCTCCAGGCCTACTGAATACCACCCTCCCCTTCTGAAGCAGCGGCCCTGTGCTCCAAAATCAAACTTCCCGTCAGTTCCACTTTTCAATCAAAACTCTAATTTCCTTGGGGTGGTTGATTTTGGCAGGCCTGAGCAAAATTCTAATCTGATAATCTGATTAAATTAATTCAAAGTAGGTTGTTAATGGCTAACAGCCTGAATTTCTGAGAGAAGCTGAGTACTTGACAATCTAATTTGTGGAATATACAAAGGAAATGTTTTGAACCTGAAACCTGAGTGTCTTTTATTTACACTCACATTTCTGCTATTTCCTGACTCTCTTCTTCCCTCTCTCCTTCCTTCTATCTCTTTCTTCTTTCTTTTTTTTAAATATTTATTTATGCATACAAGAACTGGGGTACAGGCCAGAGATGGCGGGGGGTGAGAGGATTCACCAGAGACAGAGTGGGGAGCAGAACAGGCAGACTGACTGAAATAAACTGCTGAGGGGAGCAGCGGGCAAGACAGGAGAGGTCTGCTGTGCCATGTGGGTAGCTCCCTGGCCAGGGATCGAACTCGTGCTGCAGTGGCTGCAGATAGCTTCATAGGTTGCGTCTTAACCCCTTGTGCCAGCAGGGAGGCCCACTTTCTTCTTTCCTAATTTTCTTTATTTCATTCTTTCTCTACTACCCCCTTTCCGGTTCTCTCCTCCCCTTTCATTTTCTTTCTCTCTTTATCAGGTCAACAATATGGCACAGACAGATGGTTATTTACCTGTAACTTGACTTCTTGATAGAAACTGACCTAAGGCAAATGTAACTTCTTCATTTACTAATGTTGTAGTATCTATACTCTTAATATTCTCCTTTGTTGGTTACTATTTTTAAGTCTGTGATGAGAAAAAATTATCAAACTAAATTTAGGATTATATTTTCTGCTTCTCTCATGATCTTCCATTTGTATAAAATGTGAATAGAGCATTTGAAAGCATCACAACTAGCTGCTTGTTTTCGAATTATTATTATTAGTAATAATTATTCAAATACTTCACCTGTCATAGTTATTGAGTTGAAAGTCTTTCCCAGAAATGTTAATCATCTTATACAAGTACTGACATTTGCCTCAGGTCCCTAATGGAAAGCACATCAATATATATCATATTTATTATCACTGTTTATTCATTTGAAATATTTAATAAGAAATACTGTGGTTAATATTTTTCTGTAAATGATGAAAATAATTTATATTTATTACACAATTGTGTCAGATGCTATACTTTGCAAATAATTCATTTAACTCTTCAAACAACAGTAAGTATTACATATTTTTATATCCTTGCTTTCAACAGTTATGGAAAAATTAAGACTTGACGTATTTAATAAACTTGCCTAGGATCACACTGTAGATAAATTGTATATAAAAATCACTGCACGGATATATAAAAGAATATGTACCAACCATTCCTCAAGGAATATAAATGTGCATTTTCTATCATAAAAAAAGTAAGTTGTGGGTCTCCCTGGTGGCCTAGGGGTTAAGTCTCAGTGCTATCACTGGTATAGTCTGAGTTCCACCTTCAGCTCGGAAGTAATCCACGTGGCACAGCAGACCTCTCCTGTCTTACCCACTGCTCCCCTCAGCAGTGTATTTCAGTAGATCTGCCTGTTCTACTCCCACTCTGTCTCTCACCACCACCCCTACATTTCTAGCCTATACCCCAGTTCTTACATATTAAATAAATAATTTTTAAAGTAAGTTGTACATGAAAACTGATATTTCATTTTTCAAAGATTATTTATGCATACAAGATCTGGGGTCCAGGTCAGAAGTGTGGGGGTAAGAGGATTCACCAGAGTCAGAGTGGGGAGCAAACAGGTGTATCTACTGAGACACACTGCTGAGGGGAGCAGCGAGCGAAACAGGAGAGGTCTGCTGTGCTTTGTGGGTTAGCTCCCTGGCAGGGGATTGAACTCATGCCACAGTAGCTGGTGCTAGCTCTGAGATTTAACACTTGTGCCACCTGGGAGGCCCCCGAAAAATGGTATTTCAAGCTCAAACTCAGCCCCCAACAAATGCTGAGGGATCAATAAATGGAAGTTAAACCAAGTGAAAGATTTCCTTGCATAGAAAACAAATCAATTTCTAAAGATATCTAGGTTAACATGGAAGAATGTGGTGGATGACTACTATAGCCTGAGGAGCAATAAGAAGTGGTGTTACTTACTGATCACCTCCTCTAAGGGGTGGTCCAGAGTAGTTGCAGAGCTTTCTCAGGCGTATGATACCTCTGGCAGCAAGATGATGAGCTGACTATAGGCAGAGGGAAGCAAAGTCTCTAGAAATCCTGAAAGAGAAAATGAGTCACCCTAATTACTATGAAATAGGAAAAGTGTAACATTGATTTTTATCAAAATAAAACCTTATGTAATCTAAGAATAAAACCCAACCAAGTATTACATCATTTATTTCTATTGAATAAATTGTTTGGGACTTTCTAATAAGTATTACCTGGCAGAATAGTACTAAACACCAGGTCACGATGGGAAACATTTGAACAATTGTTCAATAAATATGCTAGCTGGCTGCTTTAATTCATAAAAGTAATGCCTACTTGAGGGGGCATCCCTGGTGGCTCAAGGGGTTAAGCATTGCACTGTGAAGCAATCTGAAGCCTCTGCAGCACGAGTTCAATGCCCGGGCCAGCCAGGGAGCAACCCATATGGCACAGCAGACCTCTCCTGTCTCCCCCGCTGCTCCCCTCAGCAGTGTTTTTCAGTCAGTCTGTCGGTTCTGTTCCCCACTCTGTCTCTGGTGAATCCTCTCACCTCCCGCATCTCTGGCCTGTACCCCAGCTCTTGTATACATAAATAAATAAATCTTTTTTAAAAAAGTAATACCTGCTTGAGGTAAAAAAAAATAATCTAGTAATCCAGAAGTATATAAGGCATGAGATAAATATCTTTCCTTTCCTTTATCATTCCGTTCCCCTCAGATAACTACTCACCTGGCATTTCGAGATATTTTCACTGCACAAAATAATATTATACTCCATTGTCTTACTTTTGTAAAACAAATAGACTAAAATTACAGTTTTGGATGTATGTCATTGTGGCTATAGAGTAAGACTGGCGTAGTTCTTTGTATTAAAAGAGACCTTACCTTACATATTATGCTATAACTTGATATATTGCATCCACCTCCCCCCAAATATATCATGGAAAATTTTCCATATCAGAAGATACATATCATATATCCTTTTTATTTTTACCTTTTTAGGGATTTATTTATTTATTTATTATAATAAGATTTATTTATTTATTCATACAAGAGCTGGGGTATAAGTCAGAGATGCGGGGAGTGAAAGGATTCACCAGAGACAGAGGGGGGTACAGAAAAGTCAGATCTACTGAAATACACTGCTTAGGGGAGCAGCAGGCAAGTCAGGAGAGGTCTGCTGCGCCACGTGGGTCACCTCCATGGCCAGGTATTGCACTTGTGCTGCAGTAGCCGAGGATATACTTTATAGTGCTAGTGCGTAGCCCCTTGCACCACCAGAAAGGCCTCTCATAGTCTTTTTAAAAAGTTATTTAATAATCTATTTACATTGTATTGTAAGTCATTTAATTATTTCCTAGTGCTTTGTCTTCTTCTCAAGCTAGGTTTACTCACATTTATATACATTACCTTGTCTATTTAGGGACCTATGTTCCAACTCATAATAGCTATTATTTAATTTTCGCAGAAAGTTAAGCTTATAGTCTCAGTGCTTAATGATGGAAATACTATATATTTTTTTCTTTATTATCTTGAAGAAATAAGATTCTGAAAACTTGGAAAAGATGCTTTATACAATTACATCTCATACATGTCACACAATATATTCAGGGGGGTTAAGAAAATAACTCTGAAACCAAATGGCTATTTAAAATATCCTGCAGTTAAGTATAAAAGTTTTTTTTTTAAGTATAAAAGTTTTAAACCCAAATTTTCTGTTACTATAGACAAACATTTATGTTCAAGAAATATTAACTAACCATCTTACAAGTAGATCCTAAATGTTGGTATAGGTGGTTAGTCTGAAACTTTGAGGATTCTAAAGAAAATTCACAGGAGGGTTACTGTAAGTAAGGTCATCCACGCAACAGCAGTGTATTTTCAGCCCTTTTTGCTCATTCCCTTTGGCACTAAAGAGACCACGTGTACAGAGAAATTTTGCAGCTGGCAGAAGACACATGCTGAGAAATAACACCATAACTCAGAGCAACTTCTGGCCAACTACATCGATCTTATTAAATTTCAACCTTTTCTTCTGGAAAATAGATCCACTAAGACAAGAAACAAATATACCAAAAATACTTCTGGCACAATCATGAAAGTCAATAGTCTTCAGATATTGTCTAGTTGAGGAACATATTCCCATCAATGGGGATGTGGGCTGGCCTGGGAAGCCTCTTTGGGTTCATCAGAAGCTAGAATAACCTCCTTTTCCCCTTACTGAAAAATTACCAAAAAAAAAAAATTACCAAAATATCTGGGCTATTTCTTTATAACTGGTATATTTAATGAAAAAGATAAAATGAATTATCAATTGCTATAAACACAGGCTGGGAATCTTTTTAACATAGCTATGGGAATACCAAAAATAAATATCCTTATGAGTGTAAATGGAGGTGGGAGTCAATGTTTCTACATTAGCAGGGATAGGGGTTTTATTCAGGAGGTAGAACAAATACATTTAAAATTTCGATATAAGATAAAGAAAAATTATGACTAGATCACAACTGATTATTCTATTTCTATGGGAAAAGTCAAATGAACAAATAAAACAAATAGATGTAATACCAAACCCTGGAGACAACAGAACAACAGAAATGAATATTCATATAGCAGGAGTCCATGGCAGAGTGGTTTAAAAATAATAGATATCTTTTAAAAATACACACCTAGTAATAGGATAACTAGAAGTCTATATAAAGGTTTGTAAAAAGAACATAAACTTAAACATCAATGGGTTTCATATATTTTTTGTTTGCAAGAATAACTATTCAAATCTGGTTCAGGTTTTAGAGAATGAGGAAAGAGACAAGACCAACAAGACTCTTATGAGTAATTGTGTTCCTCTGAAAACATTTATGACTAAGAAAGAATCCGAAGTGTGTAAACTTTAAAGCCAATGACACTTAGAATATTTTATAAAAATAAATACATGAAAACTGTACACTTCCTTCAAAATTTTCATTTTGATCACATCTGTTCTAAATTTGCAGAATTATGTTATATAAAAACTTTTTCTGTCATCAAAATCCTTGAAAAATTGATAAACCCCATGGGTGATCTCCACAGATAAAAGGAATATACACAAAATATACTGCCTATTACTTCTGAGAAATTACTGATTATTTTTTGTAAAGTTTACTCTTTGATCCCAGGTTAAGGAATACCCGTGTAAAGAATGGCCCTAACTAACTAAAGTGGTATTGACTAATGTTTTATGCAATTGACTAATGGAGAAAAAATCTAGTCCTTGCTACCATGTCACCATTCCTATGCATTGCTGTCCTGGGCACTGGATGAGGGTGGATGGCAATCAGGATGGACAGAGTATAGACCAACCTCATGTCTCTCCTCCAGAGATGTTCCAGAAATGACCTTAGAATTTTCTTCCCTTATTTTTCTCTCACTCTTTCAGCACTCTACCATTCATTGTCTGAGAAACCCTACAGAGAGATTCTTCTGAACAGCATGAGAAGTGAAATGAAGTCTCAAGCAACACATATGTGTCAAAGACCTATTACAGAAGACATAGCAAAATAAATAAATACATAGATAAATAAATAAGAAAATGACCCAAGGCATTATCTTATAAACAAAATAAGACAAACTTGTTTTTGCCAAATAACAAAGTCTTTTAAGTTTTAGATATATTTCAGTATTGAATGTCAATGTTGAATAGTTGGTAACCTAAAGTGATAAGCAATTTTTAAGAAATTGCAAAGTCTTTACTTGTTATTTTGTAAACCAGCATTATGATCCCAAATGTCATCCTAAGAAACTCTGTGGTATTAGGAGCACACATATGTTTGAACTCATCATATAATCTTGAATTCTCTCTAATTAAAAATTATAATTAAAAATCTTTTGCATGGGTCAAATACATTACCATGAACAAATATATTTTACAATAAGATCATCAAAATAAATTTGTAGAAGTGGAAACAGTCCAATTAAACTATGTTCCTATTCCACACATATGCCATAGTGGCCACCACAAGTCACTATTTTATATGTATTCAACTTACAACTGATAACTACTTAATGGAGCATTAGAAACTCAGTCCAGTGGTCTATTTGAAAGTCACTTACCATATAATATATTCCATCCTCGTCTCTGCTGGCATCATGACAGAGTTTTCTTTACCTTCAAAGTAGCAATATGCTCCTGAAAAACATTTTGATATTATAAGAGATTGCACTCATGCCTATTCATACAAATATTTCCCCCATAGGGTTAATTTTTAAATAATTTTTAATATTTATTAAAAGATTTAGGTCAAGCAATAACCAGAAAATAAGTAGATTGTCAAGCTCACTTGTTTTTTACTGAATGCTCTCAAGACATCAAAATTTGCAGATTCACCTTTGAAAAGTATTAAATTTGCATTTATTCTTTTGTCCTTAAGCTAACAGTAGGGAATTGTTATTTTTAAAGCACCTATTTGGGATGCTAAGAGGTCCTAATTAGGTAAATTAAACTATCAGCATTAAGTTTGAGAAATGAAGAGTCAGAACAGATACCTTTTTGATCTACAGATAATTAAGGAAGTGACAGAAAATTGTACATGTTGTGATTTTTGTTTCCTGCCTCAGCATAATAGGTTTGATAAAATCATTTTACTTTAGTCATTGTCCAAGCTTCTGCTCTGAGTGATTGGAGGGGATTCATTATTGTTAGAGACTCCCAGCTGTTTCTATCTTAAATTTTCTTGCCCATGTTATAAATGAATGAATGAATGAATGAAATAGAAATGGCTTTAACCTCTATGTTATCATCCCAAGGAGGAGCATGTTGTTTGCAGAATTGACTAAACAACAGAAAGCAAAGCAAATCACCATAACAGTAATAGTGGCAAGTTAGAGGGGATTCCTTTCAAATCTGTTCAACAAATCAGTATGTAATTAAGTAGTACTCTCACTTATAAGGGCCACAAAGATCAACTGAAAGATTTACAAACAAAGAAAGCAAAGGAGATATGTCTATGACTAGGGATAAAACACAAAACAATATTATTTATAAACATGAAAGTTCTTTATTTTTTAATTAATCAGGGTAGGCATCATTGAGGTAGAAGATGAACTGTACTTAAATGAAAAATCAGCATGTAGAAACATGGAAAGAGAGAGCAAGATGGGGAGGGTAATCCAGATTAAGAGAAGAGCATAGGTTAGGAAGCAGAGGGCAAAGTGTGATGGGAGAATACAATGAGTGAATTTAATCTCAGCCCAAGTCTGGGAGTAAAGGTAGGAGAAATAAAATGTTTATGTTTATGAGAAGGAATTAATGATTTTAGTTTGATGGCTCATTGAATTCAAAGTACCTAGCAGAAATTCAGATACAAATATTGGATATGTAACTAAATTAAAGGTAATAGTTGAGTCATGGGCATAAAGACAGTTAACAGAAGCTTTTGGAGCCTTTAAGAGAGACCAAGGTATTCATGGAATGGGGAGAGAATAAACCTATGGATGCCTTTAAAAAAAAAAATAAGGATTTAGAATGAGAAGAAACATTCTGTGAAGCAGTGGAGGAACTAAGAAATTATCTCAAATATCACATTCAAGATTAAGTATTCCATGAAAGAAAAAAGTGTCCAACATTGTTGAATGATGCACATAAGCAACAGATTTGACTATTAGAAAGTTATTTGTACTCTTTGTGGGAAGAGTTTTAGGGAGGTGATGGGGGTGGAGCCAAATTGACTGGAGTAAATCTGTCACTGCCCGAAACAGTCAAAATGAGTGGGATGTAGTGAAAAAGCAGGGAAGGAGAATTTTTCCAGAGAGAAAGGCACATTTGAAAATAGAGAAAAGGAAGGCAAATACATCAAAGAACTTTTAACATTAGCAATTTTAAATGTAGTATATTATTAACATGAGTCTCTGTGATAATCATTGAAGAGGGGCATCACCTGAGCTTAACACATCAGGGCAACAAACAATTAAATTTTAGCATCTCAAGTTATCTAGTGTTGCCTAACTTCTGATTACTAAGAAAGAAAACATATTAGTATCAGTGATTTAAAAAATATTTTCACATTTAAAAATGATAAAAGATCCATATACATGTCAACAGAGACAATACTATAAAACAATCTCATTGTACACTTTTTAAAGAAATAATGCAGGCCAATAAATCTGAAAAGAAGAGTAGACATTATCTGACTTTTTAAAATCTCTCCAAAATATATATTCTTGTTCCATAAAAGTAAAGATATGATTCAAGAAAGTGTTTGGAGAAACAAATACTTTCCACCAAAATAATCCTCATAAATTCTCCCAAGACTGTCAATGCATATCTCAAAGGATGTAATCACTGTTTACACATCAGACAGTCTGAAAGTTATTTCACAAAATAAATGGTTTAAGTTTTTATAAGTGTCAAAGTCATAAAAGACTGATGGGCAAAGAAAGACTGAGGAGATGTCAGATTGGATGAAACTACAGTGACTTGATTGGATCTTGGATCCAGAAAAAAGACCTTAGTGATATGGTTAAGCAAACTTGACTAGTTCCGTAAGTAAGTGAATAGAACTGCTTCAGTGTTAATTTCTAGTTTTAGTAATATTATGCCCTGATTATATAACATGTTAACATTCAGGAAAATGCTAACACCTATAAAGAATGACTATGATATATTTCAAGCTCTTTTATAAGTCTGAAATTATATAAAAATTTTTGAAAAAGACATAACTAGGGAAATAAATGGGGGAAAATCCAAATCTGGAGGGAATGAGAGTAAAAGTTGTCTATGTAGTTGTATGTAGCATTCTGCTTTTCCTTTTTTAATTTCAACCAGCTCAAAAGTGGTCAGAAATAAATGACTACAGAAAAATAAACAAAAATGCCCAGGACCTAAAGAAATTCTTGTTTACATGAGAGATAACCTGTGTGTACTTCAGTAAGTATGATAATGAGAAACTCAGAAACTGATTTTCAATCTGTGTTTTCATGAAATTTTCCTCATGTGAAAAAGATGATCCAGGTCAATTTTGAAGTTGCCATGTCATTCAGTTTTGAGTATTTATTCAGTGCAAGGCACTATTTACCCACAAGTGATTAAAGGGCTCTGATCATAAAAAGTATCTCATCAATGAAGATGGACTATGTAAGTTTTCAAGTAACTGTACTTCCAGAATATACTATAACAAAGAGGCAAGCAAAGTCCTCTTGAAACATAGAGAAAGGAAGAACCATCCCATTAGCTAGAAGAAACATGGACCAATAGTTTTCTACGATGGAGAAAACAAGGAAAGGTGTTATAAAAGTAGGAACATTTGAAAGCAGTAGAAGTTTCTGGTAATAATCGTTAAGGCATAAAGACAATTTTTGAAGAGGAAAAAGCCTAAGCAACATCATGGAATAGAAAATTACAGGGTTGTTTCCATAATTGAAACCAGGTAAATTGTGGAAGAGACCCAGGGTTAGAATTTCATTGAGTGATAGAATGTGAGTAAGACATGTATGCATTGCATGTAAATACTAAATCCTCTCATACTTAAGATCAGTTCTACTAAACACTGCTCAATACATTTCTTTCTCAAATTCAGCATATTTCCATAGAACCCAGAGTACAAACTAGACATTTTATTGCCTTTTCCAAAGTGGTACTGGCAAATTCCCAAGATACTATACCTTAAAATAATACTCTAAGTGCATTGTTCTGTATGTAGCCAATTACTATTTACTGCTCACTTCCAAATGGTCAATAATTCAGACTGCTCAATAGGACCCTAGACCAGCATCAAGCTGTCCAGTGAGACTTTACAAAACAGAAAACCTTTTTTGTTAATTGGTTATGGATTTCATTTTAGCAGCAATTGCTAAAGTATTTTAGCAGCATTTGCTACATGAACCATTAGTATCAGAATATGTTAATTGGTCTGATGTAAAAAAAAAAATAATACCTAAACAAGTAAGTTTGTTAAACATTAGGTTAAGAAAGGTTAATCATATTTCTTGATTGCAGGAGTTATCAGAGCCTTGAAAATGCTAACAAGAATTATGGCATTAAAGGAGGAAGAGAAGATGCTTTGTTAGAAAAATCCAATGGAAACCTACTGATACAAGTGTTCCAGAGAACATATGTTTGAAAACTACACCAGACACATCTTTGCTCAACTAATTTTAAGTCTATCACACACTCAATGGAATGGCTTAACCAAATTCCTGTGAGGAAAGTGTATGCCAGTGATTATTGCAATTTCAGCTTTATCAACCAATGCTATCTATCAGAAAATTTTTTCTTCTTGGGAAAACATCTCTTCCTTTCATGTGGAAATTAGTGGCAAAAAGAAGTCATGAACAGGTATTTTCACTTCTGCCAATTTCTCTGGGAGAAAACTATATTGTAAATGTGAAACCTGAATGTTACTCATCTTATAACACTATTAAATCCCTTGACATGTTTACAACATGGACACTAGAATAAATGAAACACTGTAATCAAAACATCCTGATTCTCTCAACCCATATGCTGAGATTTGCTCAAAATTTGAACTAAAATCATATAGGTTAAAATGCAACTTATTCAGGGATAGTCTTAGTAATACTAAGTTTGTGCATGTGTTCATTCTTTTCCTATTTAATGTCTTACATTCTTATACTGGGACTTTCAGAAGGTCCATCAGTCAGCACATGGGAGTTATATGGTACAATTTAGACATATGATTACGTTATAATCCTTAGCAGAATTTTCATTTTCTACTGGGAGTAAAAGTCTCTGCAATGATTAAAATACAGGAAACATGATACATTTTTCCAACAGATGAAAAGTAACCATTATGAGTGATACTACTTTTTCTTATAGGAATTTATAGTTAAATCTTCAAATAGCAAGAATGTATAGTTCTTTGAAAATAGTAATATTTATGTATCTGTATTTGGAATGGTAAGGCACTCATCAAAAAATTGGAACTGGATACCCACTATGCCCAGAGGCTGCTGGATAAGGTAGCTTTGTTGGCGCTGAGGAGGTGGCCTCAGCCCACCACCTGTGGGTGTTCTGCCTCCCTAGAGTCCAAAGACACACATCTGCCCTGTCCTGAGTGCAGGCCTGGCTTGGCAGTGGCCAGGCTTCCCCCCCTTTTATAACTGACTCCAGAATCTTAAATGGACCAATCAAGTTCAAGGTAAATTGACCGATCAGATTCAAACTAAATAAAC